GCAGTCACGCGTGCAGATTTTAAAGCAACATCTTGTCTTCTAAATGTTTTTTTATTGCTTTCTATAAAGTATTCTGACCAATATTACCCATGTAATAATTATGCCAATTTGCGTTATCTACGTTCACACTGCAGGCCTTAATGCTCAAATCCAATTTTTTATTTGTTTGACAGTTCACATTATTGTAAATGTGGCCCATATCAGACTCCAGTGTGTACTGTCCGCGGCCTGAAAGTGACGCACATGCGCAGAAGAATGACACGACGTCACACGCAGCACGGTGTTGTAGGCTACAGAAGTAAACAAGAGAACTAAACAAGAAGCAACAGAGGTTAGCTCACAGGAGACTCCCGTTTTTCATTGTCCTCTCACGGGTCACATTTCTCCTGAATTATGAGAAGTGTTTACAACTTTCGGTTCATTTTATTACGGTTTCTGGCGCTGTACAACGCAACTGCCCCACAACTCACTCCCTCTCTCTCTCTCCCTACTGTGTCCCCTCGGACAAATAGTATGCACATAACTCAGAAGAGATCCGGTGGATTTCGGGTGTAAGAAAGGGAATTTGTGAGTGAGGTAGAGGAGAAAGAGAGCCACGTTTTTAATAATGGCTTTTTGTGACAACAGCTGCTCTAGAGTGACGTCAAAGTCGCATCAATTCCAACCTGAGTCTGGACACTCAGCTCGCATTTAAAAAGATCCGATCTGTATCGGATTTGGACCACATATGAAAGTGGCCCTAATATAGTACTTTTTTCATGCAGTGATCATGCAGGAACTGTTTCACATGCTCACAATAAAGCATGTGCTGCAGTGTGTGCATTCCAGCGTTTGATCCGCATAAATCAACCTATGGACGCTTTTTCATTTCCCCAGTATCTCCAGGCAGAGGACATTTACAGCAATCACGTTTTCAGATCACTCCTCATCCTAATTTGTTCATCCTCATGGGTAGTATTAGCCTATAAGGGGAAAGACTACAGCGTGAGAGTTTATGTTTGAATGAGAGAGGAAGTGTTTGGCTACAATTAGAACCCTACAAATATTTATGCTGCGATCCGGTAACAAAAAGTATCGATTGAAGTACTGGCTTGACTGGAGACGTTTCGATTCTACTCAATACCGGGCTGTTTCGAGAACAACCAACCAATGGGTTGCTTTTTCTGGTGGGAAAGGCCTTGGACAAATCTATAAAGCACACTAGAAAGTTGTGTGGTACATACAAAAGTGACCTTATTAAAAAAAATATCTTGAGGTTTTTAATCACTGTGACACGGTGATTTCTTTGTTCAGTTTCTGATGTCCTGTGCTAAAGGTGTTAGTCAAATGAACTTTTGTTGTGCCTGGTTGGACTGAAAAACTACACAATGAGTGTACACATCCGTGCTGCTGGAGTAAACCTAACCCTACAGACACCTTTAAAAAGAGACTGTGTACAGTCTCTACCTTTCTGAGTTTCATGAAAATCACTCTTGCTCTCTAAACCTTTCCCGGGCTCTATGGCTTACATATTAGTGAAAGCCATTCAGCAGAGAGGTGGTGGACCAAAGCAGAAAAGGTGACCTGGAATTCTGCTCAGTTTTCCCACCAGGTTTTAATCCTCTGGCCCTACTCTACAACCATCTATTACACATCTTCAACCTTCAGTGGCCCTTGTGGTTTTAGTATGAGAAGGGCAAAATGAGAGTGAGATGACTTGTAGGAGGATCTCAAAGTTTTTAAAAGCTGTTGGTCAAAAATAAAGAAAAAATGCTGCAAAGATGAGGTCAGGAAGGGGTCCTGCTTTATTTTAGCAGCTGCTTGGGTCTGTGAACTTGTAAGGAAAACTACAATCATCCTTTTGTGCTGGAAGATTTAATTGCATCATGAAGCAAGATGACACCAGAAGACATAATGTGTTTCTTCCTCTGGCAGCGTAAAACACAATTGTTTGTTAAGGAAAAGGGTGGAGGCAATCATCAGCTCTTCTTCTGCCGGGTGATGAAACATGTAGAAAGCCCACATGACCAATCACTGCAGACTGTCATAGAGAACACAATGACGGTACACTCATTGCAGGAGCTGTATTTTCTGCCAATGGCCATGCACTGATTACCATATTGTCATTTAAAAGCAGATTAAGTTTCCGATGAACACACTCAAACATGGTGGATACATAATGGCTGTAATCAGCCTTGCTTTGCTCATGTCTTGTGTATTCTTGTCAGACAGCTAGCTATCTCTTGTTGCTTTCTTGTCATTGAATGCAAAGGTTAGATGATATAAGATGAAAAATTAATTTAGAGGCAGACATAGAAAAAGAAAAGGAACACACACACACTCATTTACTACGTCTGATCTTTCCATAAAAAGACAGTTTGCGCTCATTCCTCCGAGGGGTCAAGGTCTCTGGGATCTTTCTTTGTCTCTCACGCTAAGTGCACAGAAGAAAGAGAAAGCACTCAGTCGAGTAGAGATCTTCACCAAGGCCAAATGATCTTCCCAGTTTGCCATGTCAATGGCAGAATGTGCTAAAGATTATTCTAATGATATTGCTAAGAGAACAGTCACATGATAGCCAAAATCAATAGGTTTCTCTATAGGTGCATGAATGTGAATTGAAAAAATTGACTGAGATTTTGAGATAAAATGTTGTAACCAAAATGAAATGGTTAAATAATTATATTTTATCCCAATCAATATATATATATATGTTTTCAGCCAACCTGGCAGTGCGTCTGTCGGTCAGCCCGCCACTTTGATCCAAACTGAAATATCTCAACATCTATTGGATTGACTGCTGTGAATCCATTCTGCACCCTGTCAAGTCACGTTGCAGAACTCCTCCGTCACTGAGTTTGTCTGGTGCAACGGAGGAGTTCTGCACCCCGACTTGACAGTGTGACTGTTTGAAAGGGCGGGATGATAAGATTTCCATTTCTCTTGCTTATGCGTTGGAAAGCCACTACACCAGCATACATAGTTACTGACACCTATGACAAACCATGCAGCTTAGTTGGCGATGTCGGGACACACAAATCCTATGTGATCACATGCAAATAACAGTACAGAACGTCCGTCTTAAACATCTGATTTGAGAAACAAATCTGTTTGCCTGCAGTCTGAACAAAACCTTAGTCTTAATGACATGCTGTGTATTAGTCACAAATAGCAACATATAGATGGAGGCAGACTGTGGGTAATGTAAGTTAAAGCCTAAAAAAGTAGCCATCTCATAACAAGAGCCATTTCTATTATAACAACCCATTATACATGCAGACATAAGATAAGAAAGCCGTAACCACATCCGATTTTTCAATATGCTATTTCTTCACTGATAACTGAATTTGTCTTGCAGACTGAGCTTTCTCAGATTTTGGTTACTTTTGGTTTTGGTTAAGTAGCATACCATGACATATCTGAAGTGCTCACCCTCATGTGAGATCAAACATCGCCCATTTCTATAGATCCTGTGAACCCTCACTACATAAATACATTTACACATCCAAATTAAAGTTATTTGAAGAAAAAAAAAAACAGAACTAGAACTAGCACGCTTCGGATCTTTCTCAAACCAGGCCTTAGACGTAACTAAGGCTCTGTGGCACTGGAGACCAAGCTTAGTTAACAAAAGATTAGATGGAAGAAAGGCAAGCTAACAGATTAGATCTTCAACAATAATAATAAAAAAAATTAAATGTCCAGCTGAAATAGTGGAAAACAGCTATTTACTTTTTTTTTTTAAATATATAAAATAACTTTCTTGTACTAAGGGATGTCAGAACAGCAAAGTCAGTTCTTCAGTACTGTCTACAGATCAGCATCCTCAAGGAGGTCAGTCTTTTTAATAAAAATTTGTGCAGAAAGATACAGTGCAAGTCCAACAGTAATCCACTGGCAGGATGTAACCTCTATGAATGATATGTAGAGTCAAAATAGAAAGTTGAGATGTGCCATTTTTATGTGTGAAAGGACACAATTATGCTTCCACTATAAGCCAACAAAGAACTGCCATCAAGCCATTATGTTACACATGAATAGAGCAGCATAATTGCAATGTAGAGTTGACTTTAACAATGACGCCTGCTCATTTAAGACTGCTGCTTAATTAAAATGCAACGTTGCCCACAATTGGTCTCATTTATCACTCTGCTCACATGTTATTAGTATATTCTATGAGTGGAAGTCATTTTAAAACCTTACTTCATTGCCATTAACTTTGCAGACAGGAGGAAATGCTAGTTTGCCTGCTGGAGTCCTTGATTAATCTTTAACGTGAGTAAGAGGATGCTCTTACGCACAACTTAATTAGCAACTCTTACCATCACAATATAATTTTCTCCATATCTGGAGAAACGATATGCCTGACTGTGTGTTTGACAATAATGTAATAGATCTAATAAATACTAGGCATGGAAACTAGCAAAGTCAACCCAAATAAGCACACATGATTTAACGTTAGGCCATGCATAGATAGATAATAGAGGCCAACAGATTGTGTATGGAGTAATGGTAATCATCTGCCCTGTGGTAATAATTGGAAAGTAAAGCAATAGGAAAAACCCTAAAATGAATATAATATTAAAAGTAAATATTTCAGTAAAGCAAATACCCTTTACTACAGTAGAGCCAATTTTTGCAAAAATATGCAACTATGGCTGACACTAGCAGGAACACAGTGAAAAACAATACTACAGGCAGACCCTGATGGAGGGCTTGGCAGCATGGCCTTGCACTCCCCATAACCAATGCGCAACCACAGCAATGAGCAGCACCTGTGCATCAGCCTTTAACCATACAGATACACATGCAAACACACCTCAACCAGCCGACCGGACACAACAACAGCCCGGATCCATGACTAAATTCCCACATTAACGTCCTATGACACACCTGCAGAACTACACCAGCTGCCTCTGTCACAGGAAAGGTCACATTAGCATAATTATTGGCGCAGTCAGAAAATTCGCCCACAGTTTAGGGAGGAACCCAACAGACAACAAAGAACTTAAATGGCTTACCTGTGATCACTAGGGGTCGACAATGAAATGATTTCACTTAAGTCCAATTTAGTAATTTCTCTTGTTTTTCTGGGAAAACATGAAGAAATCTCAGTCTGTGTCGCCTCTGATGCTCTTATCATGCCAGAACCCGATTGACAGTTGCGAAGAGTGATGGACTATCAGTGTACAATTTAACATGTACATAGGACATCATTCATCCTGGTAAATATGTCACTGGGGCTTCACATTATGTCCAGTTAGTTAGGCTACTTCTTCAAGTCTCTGCCTCCGGAGAAATCGCCTGCTTGCATGTTGATTTGGGCCTGATTAGCATCCACATCCGGCTACTTGAGCTCGTTTCTGTTAGGGATAATTGCGCGGGTCACAGCGCAGCTTTGAGAATGACGGCTGCATTTGAACTTTTTCTCCTTCTGCTGACAAACTGAAGCAAAATGCTTTGTTTTGAAGTCATTTTAACTTGAGGCTAACTAGCTTGGTAGGCTCCCATTCCGATGTTGTTGTTACACAGAGTGACAGAAGAGCATCAATGGGAGTTTTTCAAAATTATAAACAACATTCAAACACTTAAAATGTTTTATATTAAGTGGTCACATAATCTAGAGAGTATAAATAAAGTTATTGATTGGCATTCATTAATTCAGATTTGATGTGAGTGTGGGGATCATATTATGTATTATATGGTGATAGTGGATAATGTTACTTATGATGACAACCAACGAAGCATTTTCAAGATAAAAGATTATTCTTGCAAAAATTGTAGATCAACAGCGTTTGCTAAAGGTTAACATACACAGAGCAGGCCATATCATTTTGATGGTCTAATGGCAAGAATCATAAATATGTAGGCTACTTTTCCAAAATAATTTGGATATAATCTGGAAATGACCACTAAATGAAAAACAAAAGACTGGATAGCTATTGTAGGATTTAAAATTGTTGCATCTTATCAAAATGGTGCTCAAGAATAATTATGGACCTGTTGTACTTAAAGAATGTGTAGCAGCACCTTTTAATATACAGTCTATGAGCAGCACAGTTGTTGGTACAGAAACCACTACAAGCTGAAGCTTAATTATTGCTTGAGTTGTAGTTCACGTCTGTCTCTCTTCTATAGGTGTTGTTGTTTCTGAGACTCTAAGCCTTTTCAGGAAAGAAAAGAAGAAGCTGAAGAGAATTCCTAGAAATCCCAAGAGGTCACTTCCAGCTAATAACATCTAGGCCATTAAATATATATTTCATCTCGAAAACACTCATTTGAAAAAGCATTTCAGAGTTGATATGGACTTGAGGCAGTACAACTAGCAATGCCGCACACACAGAAAGGCACCCTCTTCCTGAAGATATATTCAGTAATCACAATGTATCTTTCATTATTGGAAGTGAAGGGAAATCTAAATGAGTTGTTATGACAACCTCGCCATTTAAAATGCCAATGTATTTTGAATAGGGTCCTCTGTGTGAATATTGCTTTGCCTAACAAAGCAAGTGATAAACACTAAATGCAGCAGTGCATATTCAACAGTAATCAGATGAGCTGTATTTCACAAGCAGTATGCAAATGACCAATGAGATTACCTTATTAATCTTAATGTGTGTGTTGTCAGCCACTACTTAGTGAAATCCTGGACAGTTTTAGATCTTCCCAAGCTTGAAATGACAATATTTGAATGTAGCCGAAATAAAGAAGGGCCTAGCTTGTGCAAATCTTTCAGAGCCGCAGATTAAATTCTAATGTGCCCAATAAATCATTAAACTTAAATGAATTTAGGGTAGTTTGATTTATGTTATAAAACTACTAAGGCATTCAGTGTTTTGCTATAATTGCGCAGCACTGATTGTATACTTTGCCTCTCGGTGATTTCAGTATAGAAGTGAATGTTAAGCCTGATATGGCAACTGAAAAGCAACTGCCTGTTCTTGAGAACAGTACAATATGTAGCACAACTAGTGCCAACTCATCATGGACATGTTTCAAGACGCTAATGCAATCATGGGTCCAGACTCCTTTAATCATGGCAAACACAAAATGTCTTGATCTTGAACCCACTGTGTGTGTGTCCTTTGTGTCTTCTGTCTAAAACTTGTGTTTACTCTCTTTGTATCTGGTTGTGGTATTCCCAGTATAGATCATTCTCTGACTTGCATCGTTCCTAGTTAGGGCCAAATTACAGTACACAGCACACATTCTGAAGACTCAACAACACAAGGCGAGTTGCACTGCCTTATTCTGTTGAAGCTTACAAAGCAGAGCCTCTTCTTTGAGTTTTTGTGTTGTTGCTGAGAAACCATGGCATCAGCTGATGATCAGGTGATCAGGGATGGATACATTTTTTAAATTTTTCTAGTTTTACAATTAATCTAATTAAAGAGCATCAAGAGACTCTCAAGGGGTTAATTTAAAGGAGGGCTAGTTTAAAAAGTCTTGCTAGTTTGGCTACTTGCTGTCAAAATGGCAGCAGATTTTTTTTGTGATACGCATTTCTAGGATATGTACGGGAAAAAATTAAAACCTGGAGAAACTAAAATCTCTCTAAAATGTGAAAGCACATATAATCTTCTATTCCCTTTATGAATATTCATACAAACATGACCTCTACATTTACATGTATTTACTCAGTTTTTGAAAGCTACACATTCTGTACAGTTAGCTAGGCCTGTCTGTCACAAAAAACAGCTCAAGCATTTGCTAACTCGGCCCAAACCAAATCAAGAAAAAACAATACAGGTTACATTTCCACGATTCTATGTTGAAATGTAACCATTTGTCTTTTTGTATACTGTAGTCTTTATACAGAGTTGATCATAAACATAAAAAATAGCTTTTCTACACTTATTTTGTACAAATATTAAATCTTAGTGGTTTACCACACAGAGAAAAGTTTTTTTTGAGTTTCTAGAGTTTTCTTTGCAGCAGTACCACTGTAGCCGCACAAAGACTGACATGCCACTGTGTATCTCATCCACACTTGAGATGGGTGGAGCAAATATGCAAATATTAACCAAAATTCAGATTCAGGTAGCCATTCCACACAAGGTTGTGGCAATTCCATTCAAATCATGTAGTCTTCGAAATGCCTATGTGACAAAGGTCTAAAGCTTTACACTTGTGTTCTAAATGAAACCAACTAGAAAAGACCCGTCCCCTTGAAGCTTAAAATATATCATGTGTGATTGGATCCCACCATTGTAAATGTACAGTGTGTGTAAGTAAGTAAGTAAGTATGCAAATATCTGAGCATGGGCAGAGAATGGCGACAGGAGCGGGAGGTACGCCCAGTAGAGAGAAGCAAGGGAGGAAATGAGAGTGAGGAGAGAGAGACAGGTGTTCAAATACAATAATAAATGCATCAGGTGCAAGGTTTCTGTCCGTAACTATTTTTATCAGATAATGGATTAAAAAACGCATATGAAAAACATCAGTGTACAAAGGCCTTCACTGTAGAGGTCATGTGAAAAACTGGTAGTAACAGTATCAGGGTGCACTGGCTGTGTCTGCACTGTAAGAAACCAGATTCACTGAGAATCAGGCAAGCTTTATTACCAGGTTGTCTACATGTTATATATGATGCTGTGTGTGTGTGTGTGTGTGTGTGTGTGTGTGTGTGTGTGTGTGTGTGTGTGTGTGCATTCCTGGAGGGATTGTAGCCTCCAGAGACAGACAGCCTGTGAAGAGGATCCAATATGCTGTTCCATAATGAAAGTTCTCAAGGGGGATGGCAACACTGCTTAGTGGGCTTTGTACAGTCCATTCAATCAGACACTGCCAACATGCTGGGATTTAGAGGCAGCTGCCCTCACCACTGGCTTTCTGAGAAAAAGAGATAGCAATTCCCAAACAGTGGCAGCAAGACAAAACAAGTCTTAGAGCTTTGGTGTTACAGTGTTCTGTCATTTTAAAATATAACATTACAGTATGATTACATCAGGTGATAGGGTGTGATTGTCTGCTGTGTAAAGTGAAACATCCACAGCATGTCTCGTCTGCGTTGAAGGTTGTACAGCTTAGTTGCTGTGACAATCGGTTCACTAACTTGGAATAAGACAGCGGAAACTCTAGCAAGAGAAAGTACAGTGTGTACATGACACCAAATGGCATACTTTGGAAAAATGACTACTTGCTGGAGCAAGCAAAATTGCAGTTCTGGCTCGCAGCCAATTGTTAAACCTTTGTCTGTGGAAGTGTTTACATCAGCACATATTAAAATAGCTGCACATGGAAATATGTTGTCAGTAAAATGATTTTGCTGTGTTATTGTAAAGATTGATGCACTGTCAAATACAGCCCTCACTTTTATTTGCAGAGAATCGTCAAGACATATATGGTAATTTACATTCAGCTGCGCCGATCATCCCTCATATCAGGAAAAAATCCATACACTTGGTGTGAGAGTGAGAGGAGAGGCAGTGACAGATCGTTTCGCTCACACTCTATTACCATCTTAAGGCAAGTGATTTGACTTTGCATGGGGCAAAGGCTCCAAGATGCCGATCTCGTTATTGGATTTCCTATGATAATGCCATAAAATGTCATCAGCTGGAAAAGAGATGCATCTATCACGCACGAGCAAGTGTCAGAAGTAATGACACTTTATTATTGGTGCTCCTGTGTGATTTTCCCGTGTACAAGTTTGTGTGTGTGTGTGTGTGTGAGTGTGAGTGAGAGAGAGAGAGAGAGTGAGTAGCTTTTAATGTGAAAAAAATTGTCTGAAGAATAGAGGTTGTGGTGATGGGAGTGGGGCTACTGTACCGTCTGACTCTGTGCTCTTTCTAACCTGAAGGCATAATCTGCTGAATAGTGAGAGATGTCTGCAGCCCGGCCTCATCTGGGCAGAATGAAGATGTCATGCTGTGACTACAGGCTACACAACACTCCCATGTGTCTGGCTGAACTACTCGAGAACGGGCTGACATTTGAAGTAAGGAGGTGTAAAGGGCCCTCAAATCTGTAGGGGCTGAATTGGAAGTAGCACTGGATCCATCTAGAGGGGGAATAAAGACAGATGGCCACAGTGAAACCAATCACACTTTGAAAGCAACATTGAATGATTTAGGGTAACTCTAAATTTTTCACTTCAGCTCTTCCTGCAAAAATAAAATTTGAGTGGTGAATTTGTTAAAAATGGTCATTTAATTGGAATGACACTGAGGATTTTAGGTGATCACCATTGCGAACATTAGAATCCCTTGTGTGGATTTCCATTGTGGTCCAAAAGGGGTATGTCTCCAGTTTATACCCCAATATGATCTTGTGGTATCCAGTCCTAATTATGAGTCAAATCTATTAGGATTTTAACTTCCATTTGGGTCCCATTGAGGCATACCCCAATGTAGTTAGTTTTACCACTTCATAATAACACAACATTTGCAGTAATGTGAAGGCCTAGACAATAAGCACAAACCATTTTTAAATATTGACTGATCTTTATTTATATTGAATTAAAAATATAGTTTTGACAGATTCATGTAACAAAACAGAGGAAATACGTATTTAAATGTTCTAGCTTGGGAAATGTGTCAAATAACCAGTGAAGAGAAACGTTAAAACTGGTAATATGTGACAAGGTATGAGCTATAAAACTTCTCAGTCATTCTGATGAGTTGATACAAAGCAGTGATAAATTATGATTGTTTTTACGATAGAA